CAATCAAGTCAAGTTCAAGGATTATGGTATCTGTAAGCAGAAGGGCGAGAATTCATCAGCTTGCCAGTGGTAAAGACTATGACACTTAACCAACAAAGAAATTAAGAAGAAAATTAAGATTTTCCTTTTTTTTGTCAGGGAAAAGTTTTTTGACAAAGTTTAGTTGGTCCCGGTGATCAGCAAAAATTCAAGAGATTTTTCAGTTCGATTTCAAAGGATATGTTTAGATGCATCTGCTTTGAAACTTGATACACTTCCATCAAGGTGCACATTTGGCTTTGTGGATTTTCTGTCCATTTTCTCATGCACTCAGCTCTACCAGAAGTCTGGTAAGAAAATTTATCAGATGAGTAGAAATTTATTACAAGTTTTCTTTGTTTCATCACAAACTTTGTTACTATACTGTCTCTTTTGTTTTGGTAGTAAGGTTACAGAGTATGTGTAGAACAGTACAATGTTTCCTTGAAAATACAGGTACTGCACGGTTGGCTTTTTTTAACAGGGTGTGAAGCCAAATCTTTCAACAAAAAATAAGCATCTTTGAAGCACTTTTTCAGCACTCAAAAAATATTTTTAAGCACTATATACATTAACAAAATGCAAAATAATTTTCAAAGACTACTTGATCATGATAAAATAAAAATTTAGTTTCTGAAAAAGAATTCTTTTCTTGATTATATTGGCCATTATAAAATGATCAAGAGATTTTTCGGTTCGATATCAGAAGCCTGAATTGGAAAATATCTTGCATGGAAATATAGTTGCACATGAGAATGTAATAATCTCACCGAACCCAGCTCAATAAACGCACATGCGGACTAGCAAGTATTTCATCAAACATGTCAAATGATTGAAGCTTTCATACACTATGGATCGAAGGCACGCCGAAATAGATTGTGGTTGAATGAATTGTGAAAACGTTGAATAGAACTATGTGAAAAGCACGGTTTTGTATGCTACGTGGCGGAAATCGACATGGCAAAGAAAAAAAATCTCATTTTTGAAAAGAGAAAATTAAGCACTTTTTTAAAACACAGAATGAAAAAAGCACCTTTAAGGGCTTTTAAAAAACGAAAATAAGCACTTCATAAAAACGCTACTCTAAGCACCAGGTTTAATAGCTTTCCCCAATGTCTAAGGAATATTATAAAGATAATATCCTTCCTGAACTTCCACTGCTTATATCAGTGCCTTTTATTTTTCCTTTGTCTTCTTTTTTTCAATTTATCTATTTCTCTCTTAAAGGTTGTTTTTTTTTTCAAAATACTGCTATTGTCATAAATTTTCGTTTTATATTCCTTATCTTTCTTCCTACAAACATCTCTTTTTTTTTGGAACATTCTAGTTCTATATTCTTTCAGCTGCTGTTTTCCCCATATTGATTATTCACTTAAAAAACTTTTAACTATAATACTAAACATACTATCAAATAAAAATGGCACAGCTTTGTATAAAAAGTGTGCTTTAATTGTGGAGGAACTGGTTTAAACTAGTTGAAACAGGATGCATTAGCACTTGTTTACATTTCTAGAGTTCCTTTTCAATGGTCATCCTATCAATTTTGTGTAACTGAGGGGAGATTTAGTCCTCTCTGTTAGATCCCCTCTGTTATATGAGAAACTTCAAAATTCTTAATTTTTTTTCTCAAAAATATTACTTAACATGATTGTACTAATAGACTTTATTGTAAAAACCAGTTATTAAGTTAAAAGGTTTTTTGTGTAACCAATAAAATAAACTTAAAAGAATAATTGTAACAGAGGGGACAAATATATATTTGAGATAATTTTTGATTTAAAAAAAGAATTTTTTAATGGAAATCACTGCATAATTAAGACTTAGAAACAATTTATTTTACAATATAAATTGAACTATATGTAAAATTGTAATATTTTTAATAACTTATTCTTCTTTAAAAATTTTTTTTTTTGGTAGAATAACTCAAAATCATGAATGCCCTCTATTTATGATGAATTTTACTATAATCATGCATAATTTCTGAATTAATAAATTACAACAAAGATCCTTTAAAATACCAAATACGAAGATATTGCTTAAACTTTAAAAATTCACTACTGGTTTCAGTTGGCATGGAATTCAACTACTACATGTGAAGTTCGAATCACAGATTCAAGAAATCCCTCTCTGACACGCTCGGTTTGCGCCGATATTCGCAATTTTTCAATTGTTCTTTCAACAGTTATTGCTAGACATTTTTACATTTTTTCAAAAAACAATCTCTGATGCTTTTTTAGACAATTTTATTGCAAGCGAAACTGAAATAACTTAGTAGATTGTTGATTTTTTTTTTACTTTCAGGCATCGCTTTTTTGACTTTTCATTGCTAGTGTATTATTTCAACAGGTTTTTTAAAAATTCTGGTTATTTCTCCGTTGATGTTATTTCTATACAAAAAAATTTGGATTGTGTATTTTATGCTGATAGTATCGTAATTCGTGTAGTGTTTAGATTGCATTTACAGCAGTTACGGATTTTGACTTTCAAGTGGTTTTAAAATATCCCAATACATTTCCGACAATATGGAAAATTCAAACCAAGAATTTAAATATTTAATTTTCAATGCAATCATTCTATCAATTTCTTGGGCAGTTAGTTTTTAATATTGATTTTCACATAGTTTTTAAAATCCGATATTACTACAACCAAAACTTGAAAGAAACACACTTAGTAACCCTTCTTTGAAGAGCCAAATTGGCGCGACTTTGCCAACAATCTTTTCTCCATAGTTAATGCTACAGATCTCAGGAATTTTAAATATTTGAATTTTTTAGCATGATGATGACTAACAAAATGCAAAAAAGGAAATTAATGTGTTTTACCCCCTACAAAATGTGACAATATCACACATAATATAGGAATAAACAAATATTAAATTCAATTAAAAAAAATTATATAAAATTTTATTTTATCGAAATCAGGGCTCGAAATTAACGGTGGTCCGTTGGTCCGTGACCACTAAAATCGGAGTCGGACCAGCATAAAATAATAAACAGTGGTCCGCCGGACCACCATCCGCCGCAGCCGATCTCCATTAATCTATTCTCGATCTTACGAAACTTACACGATCTTACTTTAAACTATTTTAGAGCTTATTCACAATTTTTTTTAAAAATTTTTTATACAAAATTATTAATCAAAAAAATGCGATTTAAATCAAAAATTTATGATTTTTAAAAAAAAATCATGATTTTTTCAATTTTTTTTTTTTATTTGCAGCTAATAGGAACGCGTAGACGGACCAGTAAAGTTTTCTGCGGACTAGTAAAATGTTTTAGTTACTGGTCCTATNAAAATGTGACAATATCACACATAATATAGGAATAAAAAAATATTACATTCAATTAAAAAAAATTATATAAAATTTTATTTTATCGAAATAATTTGTTTTTTTTTGTAAACTTAACACTTTTGTTACTTTAAATTAGTAACATGTATATTTCTTATTATTAAAATTATCTTGCAGAAAGATATTAGTGCTAGAGAGGTTTGTCGCAGAAAGTCCGAAAAAATTCCGCCATAAGGCTTATCTTACAAGTTAAGTTTATCTTTCATGTTAAGCTTCAGACTATGAAGAAAAAAACTCTCAGTATCCAACTATGTTACTGGAGTTAAAGTTAACATTTCATATCTCTAGTTGGAAATTACATTGAACCGGAAAATAAAATAACTGAAATTAACTGATGAATTCATGAATATTTTCGTTGAATTGTCTAACACAATAAAAGCCTTAGAGCTTTTAATTACTAAGGAGACATAATAACCACCATCAATGATGGTAATTCAGTGTTTTCATCATAGAAAAAAAATGGGTGAGAATTTCTCACCCTTTCTCAAAAACAGGGTGAGATTTCAGAAAGTTAAGTGAGATTTCTAAAAACTAAAAAAACACANACACTGTAATTTGTATGTTTGCAAAAACTTAGATCCAAAATAAAGATACATTGGAAAAAATATTGAATTCATTCCCTTTTTTAAACTGCAAGATTCAATTACTATTAAAAAATAAGAAAGGGTGAGCAATGTACCTATTTTTTATCTTAAATTTTTACCACTTTTTGTAACAATAATTGATTCCTTTCAAGACCTTTGTGATATGAATTTACTTAGTTTTACCAACTAAGTTTTAAAATGATCACTTTTTGACATTGTGTTTAATATTCTACATTACAGCTTCTTAGCAGCAATTCTTTTGATGCCATATCGCGAGACATATTTGCACTACACAAGATTTTAAATATGCATTTTTCTAAAATTTTTAACAATATGAACATTGTAATTTAAACACTCTTAACAATTTTACCAATAAGGTAAGTAATCACCTTGACTACCAGATTAAAATAACCATGTTAATGAAAAGTTTAAAGGTTCTGTGCTAGAACCTTTACCCTTACCGTCTCTGTGAGTATGACTACAGAAAGGATAAATCATACTTTTAAAACATAGAATATACTTAATCAAAGAAAATTTGAACAAAATCAGAAAGGATGCTTAGAAAGATTCTCATATTTCATGCACCCCTTTGTAAACCTCTATATATTTTTTATATATTTAATAGTTTTGAAATTTTTTTTACACTTCACAGTCCTTCCTTTTTTATTAGAAAAAATTGCAACAAAAAAATCCGATATCTCTAAAGGATGACACTTCCGTTCGAATGTAGCAAACTTCTTTATCAATTGATCTTAACACATAGAATTGAAGTTATGTTATATGAACCTTATTTCCTCCCAAATGGAAATTTGCTTGTATTAATAACACAACTATATAAATACACTTCTTTAGAGGATTAGCACAAAACAAACATTTTTGATACTAGATAATTTATTAACAAAATCATAATTATTCTGACACTTATCAAAATGTTAGTTTGGTGGCATCAAACTACAATAACTTACCTGGGAACAGATTTTTACACCATATTCATAAGGTTTATTTATGTTTAAATATCAATCATTTCAAATTTAACTTATTCTACTCACTTTTTTAATTCTTGAAGCTCTGCAAGTTCTTCAGATTGCACCTCCATTGGATAAAATGAACAGTTAAATGAGCTGTTGTACGCACTTTGAGACATTGATTCTGAACAAGAAACAATAGATGAATCATTAACAGGAGTTAAAGCCAGTTCATTTTCCATTCTAGATGACATATCTGCAGTATTTACTGAACAATCCCCGTTTAGTGCCAATGAATCAGAAACATCTTCACAGGTATTAGTACCATTGCGTTGTGACACTGGTTGAGAATTAAAATACTCATTAGGTTTGTATGACATTTGATGAGAACCACCGTTAACAGCAGGAACAGAAGCTGCGTGAATAGGAACACTTGAACCTGTTAAAACTGAAGCAGTGCAATTACTTCGAACAACAGCTGTACTACTAAAAGAAAATTCCATGTTGTGATTATGATACTGATCGCCATACGAGCATGTTCTGCCAAACTCAGATTCAAAACGCTCTAATTCTGTAAAAGCTAATAAAACTTGTTCTCTAGTAATTCCACTACTTCGTAGCCGACGTATCAGTTCAATTTGTTCTACTGTAAAAAGAGCCATTTATGATTTTAATCAATCTACATGTTTTACTTTCGTTATTCAGTATACCAAAAAAAAGTTGAAAAATTAAAAGACCTTCTGTCACCACTAAGAGAAGCCATCGTCAAAATTCGATGCTCATTGGGATTTTAATATCCCAAAACTACATCAAGTGTTTACTATACTTTCAAGTTATAACTGGTTTAACGCAAAGTGTGATTTTGGAAAGAATGCCGGCTTATATGGGTACATTAAATTACAGCAATTGTTTATCTGAATTAAAATTATGGATTCGCTTCACTTCAACAATTTTAAGCTGTAATAATCAGGGCTTTCTCACTTTTGTTTTTTGTCTAGCACAATCAGAAAGAAAAAAAAAACTGATGAATATAAAAAATTTAAAAACTAAATACAATAATCTTCTTAATCTTTGTTTAAAATATATCCAAAATTAAAAAAAAGAAAGTCTAAAACATCTTTGAATTATTCTCATAAATTCAGCAATTATTACATTTTTGACGCTTTTGCGCAAGAAAGGGTCATTTCAACTTGAATGAAAAGCAAAAAAAAAATAAATAAATAAAAAAAAATACATGAAATATTTGCATAGAAAATGAACTTAAAGAAATCAGCAATTAATTATTTTCTTTCAAATAAGAAACCACGTTAGTTGGTTACAAACTTTGTTCAAGCAACCGCCTTGGGGACCATTTACATTTAATGCTTAAAATTGGCGTATAAGCGAATATGGAGATGCGACCGAAAAATTCGCAAATGAGGTTCTCGCTCACGTCTCCAAATTCATATTTGTGTTGTTGTNGCGAATTTCAACTTGAATGAAAAGCAAAAAAAAATAAAGAAAGAAATACATGAAATATTTGCATAGCAAATGAACTTAAAGAAATCAGCAGTTAATTATTTTCTTTCAAATAAGAAACCATGTTAGTTGGTTACAAACTTTGTTCAAGCAACCGCCTTAGGGACCATTTACATTTAATGCTTAAAATTGGCGTATAAGCGAATATGGAGATGCGACCGAAAAATTCGCAAATGAGGTTCTCGCTCACGTCTCCAAATTCATATTTGTGTTGTTGTTTTTTTTCGCTTGTATGAGTATAGCATTTTAGAAACTATGTGAAATAAGATTGTAATAAAGATCGATAGCAATAACGGTCACTCTCACTGCATGTTGAAAATTATCATACAAAAGAAAGCCGGATTAACAAATTTTCGCAGGAGAATATTCGCGATCGCAACGCTTGAATACGCCATCTGAGGAGAAGACCGGTTCCATGTTTTGGCCCTCCCCCTTCTTCTCCACCGATTCTCAGTTCTATGGGAATGTTCAATGATATTTTCTCCCCTATCTTAATATTTTTCGTATTTAACAGTGAAAAATATTTCTATAATTTCCGCGATGGGTTAAGAAAAGGGAGAATATTGTAGTACATTCCTATACAACTGAAAAGAGGGAAGGGCTAAAGGCATGAGACCGGTTTCTTCCCAGATGGCGTATTCGAGTGTTGCGATCGCCATTAGGTAATTGCTACCTGTAGCCTATTTCGATCGTCAATATTTCACGAATCAAACTCTCATTTGTGCATAGATATCTAATATGCAGTAAGAACCGTCTTTTGGCTTCCCAGACATGTCACCAATCGAAAAATTTGTGTTTGCGAATTCGTAGATGCAATTAGGAACTGATTGGTGAGAACTTACTTAACTGATTAGAAATACATTAATTACCCTCGAAAAACTCGCCAATCTTGTCCTCGCTCGCATTTTTCGTTACACGTGATTATTTTGCGCTCAGTGACCTTTTGCAGAGCAATTCTTACTGCATCCAATTCATCGGGTGAATCGCATTCATGTATGATTGCACATGCAATTTAGAGGCAGCATTTCATAAGCGATTTACCTAGAAGATATATGCATATGCAAAATGTAAAATCTTCAGACAAGAAGTAAAAATAACATTAAGAAGTCCACACTTCCGGTCACTCACCTCATCAAACTATTGGGACAATATTTTCGAGAAAAAAAAGTATTTTGAGTATTTAAAATCAAAATTCGTAAAGAGAACGTTATCTTTATTCAAGAGAATTAAGTTTTTGTGACTGATTTTTTAACTTAAAATATCGTTTGCACAAACAAATTTTTTGAATATTTACTGTTAGGCTATCAAACAATAAAAAAAAATTGAATGATGAAACACTGAAAGCACTATTCTCCTTTTGATATTTGCTGCTAGTCAGAACCTAATCACCAACCTCCACAACACTATTTTTAGTTAATTTATCTTTATGGAGAGAGTACTACCCCGGAATTTTGGATATAGTTGTAGTATATATTTGTAGATAAATGATATAACTTTCAGACTTAGAGCTACGTTTATCATGTTAACACTTTCTTCACCATGTCAATCTTTCAATTTTCAGTCGTTCTACTGTCTTATTTAGAATACCATTTCATAAAGAAATCGGAGCATACACTATGATATTTCAAAGCAAATAATATACTTATAATTTTTTCGCAGAAGAAATATTAACGTTTCAAGTTTCTTTAAAGTATTTATGAGTAGTCGAAAGTAAGTAAACTTTTAGCTATTTTCCTGTAGACTTTGCAAACGGCTAAAAATCGTTTGTCTCGGAAAGACGCATGAAAAGTGTTCCGTAATTACCATTCTTAATTTATATTTTTTGAGTCTATGTTAAGAAGGTATAAGCATTCTGGGGTTCATATTTATATTCTGGCGAAGAAACTAATAGGAAAAAAAAATTCGAAAACCAAATCTAATCAATCACCTGTTTGCGTGCCAAAGGTAACAAAGAGGAGTTGAAAAACTTGTACTGGAAACACCTCAAAGTTTCACCTGCCAACAAACAGGTTTTAATATTTTTCATTCAATTTTTCTTTGAAGTGATTTCATAGATTTTGGTAGAGATTTTGCATTAATATTAATTTGCGACACGATTTTGACGTCATCATCTATGAGGAGGAATGTTACGTGCTCCAAGAAAATGTATTGTATGATAAGATAATTAAGTAATAAGTTATAAACTAGGTTTCTCAATCTTTCTCCCCCTTTTTCAAAAAAAGATCACTGGATGTTTCAGTGGACATGGAATCGCTGTGCTTACTCAAAGATGCCAAACTTCCCTGCTGAAGTTATTTAGTGTGAGAAGCAAGAAGGTAATTTTTTTCTTTTACTTAAATTTCAGCCACTTGCTGTACTTAGAAATAAAAAGCGAAAATTATTCTGATGGAAAATATGGCTGACAGAATGTAAACAATAACAAACTTTCTAAAACCGGAAGAAATTCAGAAAACTTCCGTTGTATCCCTCCGCTTATGTTATGTTTACGAGGTGATATGTGAACAGGCTTGATATTCTGGGAAGTTTTATTATTGTGATTTTTTTAAATCAAATTTAGGCAAAAGTTTTACCATTCATAAGAGTTGTCTGCAATTTATAAATTCTAACAGGTCAGGAGCCGAAAACAAATTTAAGAAAATTAGTATCACAACATAAATAAAATGTAAGCTTTGATACGTTTCAAGTGTTATCCCTTATTTGGCTATAATTATATAAAATATCGCCGGTTGTCATACTTTAGGTAGCATTTTAGTATGCTCGTGAAGTCTTCTAAATATCTTTGTTATTCGTTTCATTGAAAGTTAAATTGAAAGAAGCCATAATTGTGATTACTACAGTATAATAATATTGAATAGCGGACTTTCTAAAGCTAATGAGTAAAAATCAATCGAAAGTAGTAACCCGGATGTATAACGGCGAATTTTAATCCCTAGCGCAACCTGTGCTTAGCTTTATAGACTCAGGGGATAGAGCGTACGTCTTCTAATGAGGTGAACACAATTCGAATCCCGGCGATGGCTGGTCGATACGTATTCCGCATCCGGCATGCACCAACCACAGTGCTGACGTGAAATATCCTCAGTCCTAAGCGGATCATAGGTTAATATCCCCTTGCAGTTAGGCTAACCGTGGGGTTCTTATGGTCTTCCTCTCCATGTAATGTAACGCAAATGCTGGTTAGTTCTATCAAAAAGTCCTCCACGATGTCAAATTTCTCTAAAATGGTTATCGCAACGCTCGAATGCGCCATCTGGGAAGAAGACCGGTTCTATGCCTTTGGTTCTTTCCCCTTCCCTCTCCTCCTCTTTTCAGTTGTATAGGAATGTACTACGATATTTTTTCTTTCCCTATTATTTTTCGTATTTAATTGTGAAAAATATTTTTAAAATTTCCATGACGCTTTCATTTATAACTGTGTTTAATGTAGTTTTCAGTTTCATATAGTTTCCTAACTTGAAAGATTTGAATCTATCTGAAAATCAAGACTGAAACTAACGTACTACTTCCTTTTTCCATGACTCTACACACGCTGATGGTGAAAGCATGCGAAGTGTTGCCATAGGTAGAGGGTTCTGCTGTAGCCCATTTCGCCACCTGTAGCCCATTTCGATCCCCAATAGGAATGTACTACGATATTTTTTCCTTTTCTTAATATTTTTCATTTTTTATTAATAAAAATATTTTTTAAAATTTCCATGGTGCTTTCTTTTAGAACTATGTTTAATGTAGTTTTCAGTTCTATATAGTTTCCCAACTTAAAACATTTTAAGCAGTATGAAAATCAAGATAGAAACTAACGTCAGGGCCGGATTAAGACCTCTTGAGGCCCTAAGCACTGAAAATATAATGGTGCCCCCCTCTAACAATTAAAAATACATCTGCTATTAAGTCACGTGTTAATTCTAAATATAAAATCAAAAATTTTTTTAAAAGAAAATATTTATTTAAATAAAAAAAATTAAAATATGATCAATTGAAAACTTTTCAATTAATATAAAAAAAACTTCTGTTTGTGCACATGTACCATGTGCAAAAAAGCAAACACTTTGAATGACATATGATCGAAAGTTTGAACTTTTATATACTAAGACTCAAAATACTTTAGAAAAACAGACACATCTTTTTCTAAAAAAAGCATAACTTTTTTTTTAAATGTTCGAATTCTTGACTCTCGAAATATATAGCCATACCACTAGAATTTTTTTAAACGAACTAAAAAATTTTAGCTCACAATAATAAAATTCATTTTCCTAAAAATAGTTCCTTGTCAAAAATAATTTTTAAGAAGCATTAATTATTTTATATTATTTTATTTAAGAGAATAGACGAAAGAACTTTAAATTGAAAATTTAACAAATGTCATTTTAAATGACAAAATATAAAATTTAATGTGTATTAAATCAGTCAAATACAACTGAATTATTCAATTTTAAAAAAGTTATATATTT